ATTTGTGGTCCTACTTGAAAAACCAAATTAGTGCTGCCACGCTACCCCCTCGCAATGTGAGGGAATTGCAGGACCAGTCCTGCAAGGACCTATCAGCACCTTGTGGAATCAATCCCACGGCGGCTGCTAGCAGTTTTAAGGGCTAAAGGTGGTCCTACATGTTATAAATGTTTCGGACATTCACCAAAACGATTACGACATTCACCGGTAAAAATCAACACTCCCTTGATTTTTGTCATTCACTGTAACATATGCACCAAAAGATATTTATAATGTTCGCTAGATAGGACAGCAAATTTTACTGTCGGAAATAGAACCTAATTTAATATTATTAATTATAAAGCGATGAAAAATCTCGAATTAAATATTTTTAAAGTAGTTGTTTTATAGATCTTCATAAAGTTTATGCATAAATTCCGCCGAAAGAAGGTTGATTATTTAGAATTCCGTATCCGAAAGATATCTGCTCTATTGAATAAAGGGTAGATTCGTATATAAGTATATTCGTATTCGTATTCGTATACCGTTTAGGGTAAGGAAGGATCTATTTCGTCAATAGATCAGAATAATAGATTAATCTAATAATAATAATTCCAATATAATAAAAAATTATAATATAATACTAACAATAAGAAGATTTCGCAAATTTATGTTAGAAATCGTATTCTCTCGTATGTAAGATTTCAAATAATTGCGCTTGCGCATTTCTAGTGAGCATGTGTCAGTTTTCATTAAATGCGCATGCGCCAGTGAAAAATCTAAAACTTACGTAAGTGAAAATAAAAGATTTTGAAAAAATTCGTAAGTTAAAAACGCTTGCGTAGTAGAGTATAATTTTTAACTTTGACTACAAAATCAAAACAAGCGTTTACGATGGACGTAGACTATTTCTTTAAAGCTGTGACATATGATTCAAGAAGCTTTGCTCTACGTAAAACTGCGGATCTGTTAGCAGAAAAATGAGGTAGATTACTAATTTTGATGAATTTAGCTATGAAATACGCCGCTTATTATTATTATTTTTATTAAAAATATTTCTAAAAAAGTATTATTGTACTTCTATTGATTATTTAACTTCTTTAAACTAAATTGTATAGTTGAAATAAATATAATTTATAATTTTGAAATAGAGAAAATATATCTAGTTCAAGAAGCTTTGCTCTACGTAAAACTGCGGATCTGTGAGTAGAATAATGTGGTAGATTGCTAATTTTGATGAATTTAGCTATGAAATATGCCGCTTATTATTATTATTTTCATTAAAAATATATTTGAAACAGTATTATTGTACTTCTATTGATTATTTAACTTCTTTTAACTAAATTAATTTCTTTTGCCCGGAAAACATTTTACTTCTCATTTTACACACCAGACGGCAATACCAGGATATTTTTAAGGTAATTGTAGATAGTTAATTTTAAACCAGATGTCAGCACTAATCAAATACGTGTATTAAAGAAATGAGCACTTTTATGACCGTTTTCTTGAAAATTAACCGATCGTTAAGGGGTTAATATTCATTAACACTCTTACTTAGTATTGCATTATTGGTGGTGGCTCTTCTTCGTAGTATCTTGGTTGTGTATTGGCATAAACAACTGGATACACGGGGTAGGCAAATGCTCCAGCATTGGCACTGTTCCCATTTTGATTGTAGCTCCTCCTGCAGATAGGAGTATTTTGTCCGGGAACTGAAACGCAGGACATAGATTCCGAGTATCCATGGCAAACAGCGATCAGAAGGAAAACACAAGCAAAAGCAAATATTTTTCCCGTCATCTGAAAAAAAAATAAACAAAAAAATAAAATATAATCACATTAAATATAACCACAATCATAGTCACATTATATCACAAACATACTTTATATGACTAGTAGCACTGTTAATAAAGCTTTAATAAAAATAAAAAATATTTATTCAATAAAATGTCTTATTATAATTTCTTTACTAAATTACAAATAAATTTTTAGACTACTAAGAAAGAAACATAGTATTTTATAATTAAAAAAAAAATTAAAAAGTTGTGTGATCGCTATATTACGATCACTGGTTACCCATTGGTCAAATGCTTTTTCTTACTGGATTGAATCCATTAAGCGCCACAACGTTTCAAATCATGAGCTGCAAAAACTGTCTCTATTGATGTTTGTTGTCGAATTGGTTTTCAAATCTTGCCTATGTACATTGTTTCAAGACGTCACAAAATACTTTTCCTTCTTCAGTATTTATATTTATATTGAAATAACCATCAAGCAAGTAATTATAAGCTAATATTAAAAAGAGTATAAAAATACTTTAAATTATTATGATATAAATACATTACAAATGCCTGCTAGTGAAAATAAAAAGAAAAACAGCAGCGGTCGCCATAGCAACGCACACAATGACGGCGCGTGCGCACTGTTTGCTATTACTCTTGAACGCAGTTGAAAAGTGTGATGACGTAAGTTGCACTAGCCATCAAACCCAAAACAAGACCCATTTTGCCAATAGGCAATAGTTTTATTTGAAGACAATGGGATGCCTGCAAGTAACATAGTGGGGGTATCTTGATCCTGATTGGTTGTTTAAACGTGACATTCGTTTACGTTAGCAACTGCCCTTTCCATTCTATTTCGCGTAAGTCAAGCCCGTCAAGTATCAATTCTCTTAAGTGACACAATCTGAATTCTTACACAAAGATTTCAATTATTCATATTTCTCAACACAAAGACAGGTAGGAAGCCATTTGGAACATAAATAAACTAATTATGCATCGAAGTTGCCAGGTCCACAAAACATAAATACGTCACAGTTACAATAAAATGCATAAACAGATAAAAATTCTAAGTTAAGTAAAGACGTAGACGAGAAAGAACTACATTTCAATAAATTCGATGAGTGATATAGCGCTGTGTTTAACTAATTTCACGATAAGCAACATTTTGACTTATGTGGTGAAACTTAGCTCAAATTTAGCACACTATTTTTGTCTCGCAGTTGACTGATCGTTAAGACACGGTTCCCAGCCGATCATCAAAGTTAAGCATAACTGTGTGCGGGTGAGTGACCACTTGGATCAGTCTGCGTAGGGACTGGTTCTCGTTAAACTGTTCTACCGTAAAATGATGGACTTCGCGTTCAGGTCGTCGGGCTTCCGAAGCGGGGTTGCCATCCCCTCTGCCGAGGATCAAAATTGCGATGGCAAGTCTTTGGATCATCCTCAGGGATGCTTCCTAGGCCGTCGCCAATAGCCCATTTTGCAGCTCTAGTGGGACGTAAATGAACTACAACAATAACACGCCATTTTGCTTATAAGCGATCAGCTGGTGCCGACGTCACAGGTCACATGTGTGGGCGTTGTGATCTTCCTCTTCTTGAAGTGCGAGTACCCAATTCTTAAATTTTAACTCTTAATGAATTAAAAATGAATGTTAATTTTGAAAATTTCAGTGGAGGAAATTTGCAGTGGAGGAAACTATCGCATATTAAGGCTATAGTTTCCTAATAAACAAAACACAAATAATTTGACTCTTTACATTCCGATGTCTGCCCTGATTCATCAAGCCACCATTAGAAAAGTTTACGTCTTAATACGTATTTAGTAATTCCCTTTATTCTATGATCATAAATTATTAAATTGAAAATAAGTTAAGATTACATTCAGTATTTCAGTAATTTTTCGTTAGCATGTTTAAAGTACTCAAAGTAAAAACTATTGCTAGCGTCATATCGTTAGCTTCTTTCAAAAGCTTTCCGAGTTTATTCACCAACGGCTACCAAATACACTTGGAACCTAATTCTTCTCCGTAAAACATTAGTACCTTTATCCGCTAAAATGTGCTGTTTTCAAATCCGCTAAACTCTTTCATTATATTGATGCTTTCAAATAATACTTGCAGTTCAATACTCATTTTTTTACTGCAATCAAAAAACTTTCGCTTCCATGTAAAGTTTCGCTTTTGTCACCTGTTATTAACCACAACCTAACACATTTCCTTTCATTTTATTTAATTTATTTGCCTACTGGAGTTAATCTCTGACGTAAGTAAACTTTTTAACAATTAACTTTTTTGCTTCCGCCTTTGTCGCAACATTATTTTTACATTACATAACAAGAGCAAACATTATTTTAATTTTATTAAATTTTTTCCTCGTATAATGTCGGGCCAAGTTTCACATTGTAAGACAGTTTTAAAGGAATAGTAAAATAAATTGAGAAACTTTAAAAACAACTAATAATAACGAAAAACACTATCAATAATAATCGAGGCCGGGATAGCTCGATCGGTTGGGCACTGTGCCCATAGCCAAGAGTTCGTGGGTACGATCCCCGCCGACCGAAGACTCCTCGTGTAGTAAATGGGGACTGATGCACGTTAAATCTGTCGAGTCACAAAATCCTCCATGCTCCCATAACAAATCAATACCTCTGGGGGTACTGATCCAGGAGTTTACTTGTCTTCTGGATTGGTTCAAAATTACAAGACTACGGAGTTGAACATTACGGACATAATAGCAATAATACTCGAGCTGAGATAGAGCTTCAGCCTTTAAATGAGGTCAACTGGGTTCGAATCCCAGCGATGACTGGTAAATACGAATTCTTCATCCTTGTACAAACCGCAGTGCTAACGTAAAATATCCTCAGTGATAGACAGATCATGGGTTAGAGTCCCCTTGCTAACCGTGTGAGGTTTTCGTGGTCTTCCTCTCCGTGTAACGCAAATGCGAGTTAATTCCATCAAAATGTCCTCCACAAATTCAAAATTTCTCCCGATACTTGATCCAGGAGTTCCCTTGTCTTCTGGATTGGGTTCAAAATTACAAGGCTACGGAGTTGAACATTAATAGTCGTAAACCCAAAAATTGGGTCGACTGTTCAATGGCGGTTATAATATCAATAGTAGAGTAGAAATAAATCTATATATAAATTTTTTACCTTTTCAGTTGAGAGCTTTTAGTCTTTGGGGGAAGGAACAAGATTCAACTGTGAAAACGGCATCGCCAATACCTTAATTTATATATTGAAGATGTGTAGAAAAAAACGATGAAACGCCAACTCGGCAATAAATTAACTTGTCAACACCTCAGCGTAGTCAAAAGAATAATTGCGAATTGTTCTTATTGCGACACACAAGAAAATTTAATGATCGTCCGGTACGGAGAATCCTCTCATATTTGATACAAATATTTCGTGACTCCCCAAACTGTGAGACACATTCATTTATTCCAAACTCATTGAGAAAGCGCAAATGAGATACATTATTACGTAAGGTGGGGATTGTTTGTAAGCTTGGCACTTGTATGCCACATAAAATATGGAAGGCATTGTGGCGGACGCCTCATTTTGACCAGTCCTGTGACGTACAAAGTGTCGCACGACTTTTATGTGACAGTAAATTACCTCCTTGGGTTATGTTTATTTATTTTCGTTCTGTCCTGACTTTTGTTTATTACTTTTCTGAACCATTGTGAAGATCAAATTTCGTGCAAATGCTTGAGAGTGTTTAACGTTATTTACTAGTTAAGCTATACATGTGAGTGATGGCGTAACAAGTATAGTCTTTTTCACAAATCATTGAAATCGTAAACTAGTGTCCGGCTGTTAATTTTTTAAACCTTTAAAATGCACGGGACAATTTTGTTTTCTCTACTAGTTCTTTCATTGTTTAACGGTTTAATCGTTTGCAACCGAGTATTTGAGTTCAAAATCTCCAATTTTAAATTTGGCATACTAATTGCGAATGATTCTTTCAGCTAATGCAACCTCATTATACACATCACAAATGTGACGAGTAGCTTTTGTAACCTTAGCAACTTAAAACTTAGCAACTTAGTAACCTTAGCAACTTGATTAAAAGCAAAAAGACAGAGGTGTAGAAACATGCTCATATTTCTCAACTTGATTTTCCGTTTTAAGGGACTGAAAATTAACTCGAACAAAAGCACATTTGATGAAAAGCACCCAAAAACATTTGATGACATGTGGAAGAAAATAAACAAAAAAATAAGTAAATAAATAAAAAACGGCCGAAGCTTAGTTACCAACCCAATAAAATCTTTCTTATAAATTCTTTCTGAATTTTAGCCATTTCTGGTGCCAATTATAACTGAAATAATCAGTTCTACGCTCATCAATTCCATAGATAACTATAAACCATTCACAAAGAAAAATAATAAGTGTTGTGTAACATACTACACTAAATATACTCCTTAAAAGATTCTTATTGTTTGTTTTTGTGAATCCACTGGTATGATTGAATTTCCAAAATGCTTTTAAGATAGTTTCAAAAAAAATGTTCAAAAATTTGGTAATTGACTGATATTAATGCAACCCCTTTATGGAAGATAATTTCATAAGACTTCCTGCAAAATTTTTAATGAATTTTTCATAAAGTTGCATTAGATCATACGTAACGTATGCCATAGATAACTTATGCTGGACAGTGGCACTTAAACTATGCTGAACAGTGGTATAAAACAATTTATGCTATAAAAACAAGAAATAAAAATCATAAACAGAACTGACTGTCTTAAGAAAGTGTGTTCGGCAACACATTATCTTCGGTACATTATTCCAGTGCATTCAGTACTTCAAATTTAAAGCTATTAACGTTAAAACTAACTATTTCTAAGGATTTCCTAAAAAATAAACTAAATAAATTCTAAAATAAAAGAAGCTATTGATACTAACTAATTTTTATGCAATTGCGTTTTTCAACTACAATTGACAAACTTAAAAACTCCTAACAAAAACTAAAATCCAATTCAAATTGAAAAATAAACATTATGAAAGAGAAATAATGATAGCAATCCAAATCTTTAACCCTTTCGTGTAGTTTTACTTGATGCACTTTTGTGCATCAAGGGGATCGCATAAATATTTTATTTAATAACTGTCGTTGAACAGCCAACCCAATTTTGGGTTTACGACTACTAATGTTCAACTCCGTAGCCTTGTAATTTTGCACCTAATCCAGAAGACAAGGGAACTCCTAGATCAAGTATTAGAAAAAATGTTAGCTTCGTGGTGGACTTTTTGATAGAATTAACACTCATTTGCGTTACATGGAGAGGAAGACAACGAGAACCTCCCACGGTTAGCCTGACGGCAAGGGTACTCTAACCTATGGTCCGTCTACCACTGAGGATATTCCGCGTCAGCACTGTGGTCGGTGCAACCCGGATGCGGAATTTGTTCATCGCTGGAATTCGAACCCGGTTTACCTCATTTAAAAGCTAACGGTCTATCCCCTGAGCCATCACGGCTCTGCAACAAACTTCTAGGGGAGTTAGGACTCGTCATCAGAACTAAAACTGCATAGGATTCCATGCCCCGGAAGTGCAGTCATACTCCGCTAGGGGCCTTTCTCTAATATAAACTATTTCTTCGTTTGCTTCTGAACAGGTCACATTAGGAAAGCTCCCCTATTCACGTATACGACTTTTCCGGGAATCCGATACAGGTATAATCCTGATGATATACCTAACTCACCTAGAAGTTTGTGGCAACATTTACGCGACGCCCTGATATATATAGAACGTTTTTAAACTTGTACCTTTTGGCAAAAATAGACTAAAAATGTCATTTTAAAAAAATTTCAGGAGCAAAGCTAATTTCCGATTTGAAATACCCACATCCGAAGTGGGCAAAATCAAGTATTTGTATTAATGCAACAAATAATTTGTTAATCAGCATTTTGTTGACATTGAAATTTTGATACTCAGGTTTTCGTGGAATTCAAATATTTGTTACTCGTCAAGATAATTATCCATGTTATTGTACGAGTAGTAAGAACCGTGTACTAACTGAAGGTTGCCATTCAATTTTAATCTTTCTTATTTTGTATACATTGATATGATAATTTGTAACGTGTTTCCATTTTTTTTTCTGATCGGAGATATTAATCATAAAATATATTTATTGAAATAATTTTGACAGAAGTACATCTTCTGAAAGGGAATAAAAGAAGAAAATATATACCATTTTATATTGCGTATCAACTTACATTTGAATTCGTCGAACAATAACTTTTCACCTGAAAGGAAACATTTCTGTTTTTCTACTTTCGAAAGAAAATTACAAATTTAAATCTCTTATTTGCTTACTAGCGTTGCGCAAAAGAAAACTTGCTTGAAATTTCCATTATTCAGGTATTTCATAATATTTGAACTCCTCCCGCCACGCTTGCATACTGAAACAAGTTTCAAATATAAAAAAAAATTAATAATAATATAATTAAGATCATAAGTAATGTCTCCCTCTTAAAAAAAAAAAAATTGCCGTCACTATTACATAAGTGCATACGTATAAGTACATTGTATGAACATACGTATTGTATATATACCTATGAATGTGTTTTGCATGTACACATATACGTACGCATTTGTACGTACGTAGGTATACTTTTGCATACACACATATACATTTTATGTGTATACGTGCATTATGTACATACGTACAGTGTATGTGCATACATACGTACGTCTTCTTACATACTTTGCATGCATACTAACATACATTATGTGTCCTATTTACTTACACTTGAGCATACAATGTACGTAAGTACTGATATACTATGTACGTATATACAATGTATGTAAGCTTTCAACTTTTTTTTTACTTATTCATGCAAATATTTATATACAATGCTCGGTCGCGTATATATACACATAAACATACTGCGAAGTTAAGTGCTCATGTATGTACAACATCTATATATATATTTCTCTTACACGGCGACAAAAAAAGCCTCATTACAACTCCCCGAATGGCAACGCTAGAAAATCGACCAATGATTGCCACTAAAAATGTCACATGCCAAATCTAGCTGAGATGGCTCAACATATAGCACTTTTAAAAATGGAAACTGAAATAACCAGAGAGAGCATAAGCTAGGCAGAAGTGAGTAGTCTTTGTCGATAGATCTCTATTTTAGTATTTTGTCGAAAGCGCTTTTTTTCACGAATTTATATATTACGAATTTATTTGACGATTTTTGATTTATATCACGAATTTATTTGTTTTACTAGAATTTATTTGTTTATGCAGGTTTTTCCATTGCAATTCACTTATTTCAATTTTTAATAGACTTAATTATAGCCAAAATTTTAACCTTTTTAAAGAGATATCAGTTTTAGAAATTTTATCTTAAGATTTTATACTATGGCACATTTCTAATAGGTTTAATGAATTACATGTCATTTATTTGAATTCAAATTTATTTTAATGACTTAGTATTTACTAAAAAGATGTAATTTTGTTTAAAAAAAAAGTTGTTATATGGATTTGAATGATTGTTTTGAATTCTTAGAATTTTGTGCATTTGCAATGTACCTAAGTTAGTAGCGAGCGAAGCAAACCATATAAGATTGCGTAGCAATTTTCGGGGATTGGCGAGCGTTAGCGAGCAGGGGGCGCAGCCCACTAGTATTTATGAATTCGCGCAGTAACTATTTTTACAAGTATTCGTTAGATTATGTTTGCTGGTAAAAATGACTGCTTATAATCGTACATATTGATTACATTGATAACTTAAAATAAAAGATTTCGGTCATTTGTAATCATTTTTGCGTCTTATTGTGATTACTCGTAATCATAATCATTTTTATCTGAAATCGTTACTTGTAACTTATAAAAATAATTACAAGTAGTTCATTACGTTTTATTTGTAGTTGTCCCAATCGTAGTCAATTAGAGTATTCCGTGCCCATTTCTGTTGAGCAGTGAAATTATTCAGTTATTCTTGACTAATGAATAAAGAATAATGATTGAAAATAATGAAAGATTTATTGTTTATTCAGAATATTTCGGACTAATGAATAAATCTTCATTCTTTATTCAGGAAGATTTTGAATATGTATTCATCATTCTTTATTCATCATTCTGAATGACAAATGCCCATCTCTGTTTTAGACCTAGTTTCATGTAATAATATGGGGGTCATATTCTTTGAAAATACACTTTATATATCTAAAAACACATAAGAATATTTTTAAATTAGTTTTATTCATTCTAAATTACGCAAAAGAACTAACATGTATATAGAACTGACACTTTGTTTATTTTTCAAAATCTTTTGAAAAGCAAAATTCTTTCAAAACTAGATTTATATTAAAATAATAATAATAATAATCATATATAACAAGAAATGTCTAAAGAATATTTTTAAATAGATTTTTTAGAGCAAAACAATCAAAATTCGGTGTTAGTTCTTTATAACGTAAGAAATAACCCTGAAGGATATTTTTTAAAAATTTTGAATTGCAGAATTCCCTTAAAACTGATTTCATATTGAAATATGGGAGTCATATTCTCAAAACGCATATATATCTAAATAGAAATACTTAAAAAATAGCTTTAAAATAGTTTATTCTAAATAGATTTTAGTGATTTTTTTTTCAGTCAGAGATAATCTTATAATCTTAAAAATAATCTGCAATGATCTTAATAATAATCCTAACTCTTATCTGGTTTATAATCAGCAGCCTGACAAATCGAAAACACACTGTAGTGCTTCTGCATCGTTATAATTTTCAGAATGAGAAGGAAAAAAAAAGATTAGCTATTGCAAATAAGTTTCAATTAAATAATGATAAAATGTGCCGATTAATATAGAAATAATAATTCAAATGCCATTGATTTTCATTAAATGTCTTTATTCAAAATTTCAAAATGTCACATTTTTGAAAGAATTTTCTTCCATCTGAAAAGCAACAAAAAAAAATTACATTTCAGTTTCATTTATAATCAAACAAACAGTCATAAAATGTTATTACTTTGAAACAATCACAAGATACCAAAAAAAAAGAAGAAGAAAAAAAAAGAAATCTGGCAAATTATGTTTTAAAGAAACTCCGAACAAGAAACTCCGCTACAGACGTTTCGGGTTTGAAATTTTAGTTTTTTTTTTCCCTTTCATATCTGTAGCATTTAATATGAGAAAATTTTATTTTAATATTCTAGAGAATTATGGAATTTTACTGTTGGAAATTGCAAAAACCGCAGAAAGTTGCTTGAAAGAGGGTTGCCGCGGTCCTTGAAAATTTTTAGTCTTCTTCTTCTTCAGCACGACAGTCCTTTACAGGCCTTGACTGCCTCAACCACACGTAGCCTCCTGTTCATGGCGACTTTTTTCCAGTTGTTTATCCTTAATACTTTTAGATCTTCAGCAGTGTCATCGAGCCATCTAGTTGGAGGTCTTCCTCTAGCCTGAGATCCCGGAGGATTTTTAAAGGTGGCGATTCGGACTATATTATTTGAAAATTTTTAGTAGTGTTAGTAAATTTAGGTTAATGCTAGAAGATATTTCTTATTTTTATGTACCACTTCGTAGTTAAGTAGTTTAAAAGCTGGAATTTTCCTGCATATATACTTTCTTTGGAAAACAATTTTTAGTGGTAGTTACACAGAAATTAAATTATCGACATTTGTTTAATTTTTGTTACCACTTTTTAAAATTTATAAGACCCGAGGAAACCCTGTTACAAGGTACATTTTACTGTTGAAAGCAGTCATATGTGATGGGTTTTTTAAGTAAGAGCCGTTTGAAAATAAAAACCGAACGAAAGAAAATTTTCATGAAGGAAATTTAGTTTTTGATTCTACATAAGTTTCTCTTTTTTTTTTTCAAAATAGTTACCAAGCTCGCTTAAACGCTTTTTATACCTTACAACTAGATTTAGAATACCTTCTTCATAGTTACTTGACACCTGCTCCGAAAACCAAGAGGTCACGACCCTTTTCACGTTATTGGTGTCAGCCAAAATGATGTATGAAACATCGGAAAATTACTTAGCGCAAGGTCTGGGCTGTATTGATGAGTGGTCCAAAACTTCACAGCAAAAAGAATTCAATAAAGTTCGGGACTGAGCTGTGAAGAGAGTCATAGTCATGGAGGTAGCAAAATTCCCTGTAAATATGCCAGTAGGAAGCTTCGGTAACTTCACAAATCTGCAGGCGAGTGTAGTATGCAGACAAGTTTTTTGCCGACTAAAAACGAATCACAGACCGTACCTCATACGCGGCAGTTGATTTGTTAAACCTGAACATTTTAAACACACAGAACTGACTGTACAGGTTTCCTACACAACTGAAACTGAGCAAAGTTGTACCCAAGGAATGTCAGGACACGACGCAAGCACTCGATGCTACGCAAGCGTCATCTATTAGTGTACACAACAAAACGGCCCTTATAAAACAGTCCTCGTATTTTGGTAGGTTGGTAGGTACTTTATTTACGTTGCACTAGAGCTGCACAATAGGTTGTGGTCTGGGAAACATCCCTGGGGATGATCCGAAGACTTGCCATCGCAATTTTGATCCTCGGCAGACGGGATGGCTCCCCACCTTTGGTAGCCCGATGACCTGCGCGAAGTCGAGCACTTTGCGGTAAAACAGTTTAACGAGGACCGATATCACGCACCCTCGGACCCTATGCGGGCTGATCAAAGTGATAACCCACCCGCTTACTGACCGCAGCCAGTGATGCTTGACAGTGATGCGTGTAACTGATTAGGAATTTTAAAAAAAGTACACAACAAACTTTTGAGGATTCTAACTAGTGCGGCATCATGCTTTAATAAAATAAAAAAACACTGATAAAGAATTTTAAAAAAAGTACAAAAGAATCTTTTGTGGCATCTAAAAAGTACCTCATCTTTTTGAGGGATTTAAAAAGTAGAGCATCATGTTTTAATTAAAAAAAACTGAAAAAGAATTTTTTAAAAAAGTACATTTGAAACTTTTGAAGGATCTCAAAAGTTTGCTTAAATTGTGAAAAATTGAAAAAAAAAATTAAAAAGTACAAAAGAAACTTTTGCTGGATCTAATCTTACACAAGGTTACCTTATCGTCTTCCAAATACGAATGCAAAAGGATCAAATCCACCTGGACCCATTCCTGAAATTCGTAAAAATATTAGTAAGAATTTCATTTTCGAAAGAAGCAGTAATAACAATTTTTTATAAGCTATCTTAAACTAATAATGCTACGTAAATAGAACCCGTTTCTATAATCCAAAACATTCTTTTCTATAATCATAATTCTTTTCTATAATCGAAATTCGTTTCTATAATTGAAACACAGCATAAGAGAGGGAAACACTGAGACGTAGAAGATAAATTCAAATAAATTGCAACAAGGAAAAAAGAGTTTAACAAATAAGGAATGGAAAGAACCACGATCATTACTCGATTATCGTGCTCAAGCTTGTTCCCCACTCCCAAATAGTGAAGCCACTTTGTTCAATGTTGCAACTTGTTTGTAAATATTCTCTTCTGCATCTTCGTGTTTCTCTCATTCAGCAGAGGAAGATTTTTAATTATCGAAAAAAAAAGCTGTAATATATCTATTGCCTCAATTTTACGAGTATATTTTGTAAAATTAAGGTAACAGTATATCATTCTTAAAAAATTGAGCTAATTTTAAAAATTTTCGTATAACTGAGGTAATAATATATCAATTTGAGATAATAGTGTAAAAATTTTGAAGTATAGTACATCAATTTCTCTTCAGGAGTTTATAAAAAAATTGTGAATACGCTCTCTTCAAGAGTTTGTAAAAAAAAATTAAAAATAAAATTTATTTTATTTTAAAACCGTCGCTAAACAACAGACACAATTTTGAGTTTTATGACTACCAATGTTTAACTCCGTAGCTTTGTAATTTTAAACCCGATCCCGAAGACAAAAGAACTCCAGGATCAAGCATTGGGCCTCTGTGGAGAACTTTTTGATGGAACTAACCCCCATTTGCATTACATGGAGATGAAAACCAAAGAAAACCTCCCACGGTTAGCTTGATGGCTAGAGGACTCTAACCCATGATCCGTCTACCACTGACGATATTTTACGTCAGTACTGCTTTAGGTGTGAGCTGGTTGCTGAATTCGTATTGACCGGCAGTCGCTGGGTTTCGAGCCCGTATCATCTCATTGAGAATGGAGAACTGTAGGCGACCACGCGCTCTTTTTATAATTGTTATGAGTCTGTAACAATTACTGAGTGATAGTAGTCCATCATTATACAACGCCCTCGTAACTAATCATGAAATTGGAGTAAAAATGTAGAAAAACCACTATTTTGTGATAGCGGTTCAATTTTTTATATTTGAATAGTTACTGCATCACTGCTTCAACTATTGAAAATTCTTCATTGATTTTAACAATTTTCATCTAATTCAAGAATGCCACAGGTGACTAAAAAGGTAAAAAGTTACCACTTTTTACATTCATTTTTATCAACTCATTTTTATTTATTTATAATCTCCTTAATGAATCAAAGGTAATTACCATCACGACTTACAATTCAAATTATTCATATTTAAGGCAAACATGCTTTATAAGAGCCTTTAATAGTAAACTGAAAAAGTAATGCTAGAAAAGGTTGCTAATTTTATTCTCTTTTAATAAGTTTTGGAAATTTATTAGTCACCACTTTTTGAATTTAGTCGCCAGTGACAATCTTGCTAATTAAAAAAAATCTCGTCAATTTTTCACAGCGAAGTTAAATAGTTTAAATATTTAACCAAATGAAGAGTTATGCTTTAAGCTACATGCGTATAAAGCAACACGACTTGAGTAAGGCACAAATAAAGAAACAGAAATGAAAATACTGTAGTTTCGATTCTTTAAACAGATGCCTTCCAGGGTGTAGAAACACAACGTGACAACAGAAAAGTAACAAGACAAACACAAACAAAGTTGTTTAAACAGAATTTTAATTATCTTGTTTAAGCATGTTATTCATCTCCTACCAGTTAAAAGAATTTTGAACGTATTTGTCTCGTTACTTTTCAGTCGTATTGTTGTATTTCGACAATGAGAAATGCTTCTGTTTATAGAACCGAGACTATAGTATGTCTTTTTTCTGAGTCTTTAGTTGTGATTTATTTAGGTTTTTTGTTTTGTTTATACGTACGTGTTTATACATACGTAACGCAAAAGCGGAGCTCCTCATTTGGTTGAATATTAGAGTTATTAAACTTCTTTAAATAAAAATTTGATTTTCAAAATTGTTTGGCACAATGAATATAAATGAAACTTGCCTCCAAATCCTGGTGGCATTCCTCCGAATGCAAAACCACCCTGATTGGGAACATTACCTGCAAAATTAAAAATATTAATTCAGATAAAAATACATTGGTCAAATGGCTAAAAATGTATCCCTAAAAATACATTTGAGCCTCGATTTAACGAATTGATTAGGACGGACAAATCCGTTCGTTATATCGAAGCAATTCGTCTAAACGAATATCAATTTTTGTAAAGAGTATGGTATATTAATGAAAAATACCCTTAGATATACAGATATGAAAAAAAGTTTTTATTGCTTACTACGAACTTACAAATTATAAGTTATGCGTTAGGAAATCAACTTTAAAATGATCTTAATTCTTTAACACTACTTGCATTTAAAACATAATACATTTTACATAATTACACACATGGATAAGGGTATGAAATATTCAAAATTTTAAGAGCGAAAAATTGAAAGTTTTAGTTTTTTGAGTGAATTTTTTTCCAGCGATTGTTGTTCGTTAAACCAACGCTAAATTTTCGTTAAATTATAGCATTTTAGCACCCTTTTTGCCGGGACAGAGGATATACTCATTAATTCGGTGAATTCGTTAAATCAAAGTACGTTAAATCGAGGTTCGACTGTAGATATGTCGAATCAGAAATATTTTTATCACCCAATGGTTTCCAGTTAGGGAAAAATTCCTCCAGGATCACTTTCCTGAATTTTCTAATGGGTAGATAGATTTCGTACGGAACTTCTTTTATCGAAAAAAATCCAAAAATAGATTCCGGATCTGAGTTTGAAACTTATTTCCAATATAAAGACATATTTAAAGATAAATCAGTCCAAAAAGTTGGATCTCTAATGTCCAAGAAGCGAAAAGTTCTATCAGGACATAGTTTCCAACTTGCATTTATTTATTTTACCAAGTCAGACTTTCGCAAATCGGTAACATTGAAAGTGTGTTGACATTTTTATTTCTACAACCCTGCATCTAAAAATTGGCGAAGGAAAAAAATAATAATAAAATATAAATATGGCGCCATCTATGCGAGGCGCTATCCAGTAGCACCACCCATGGCCAAAATTCGATTTCCGTCACATCCATTCGTCACACTCGCTTATAAGGCGGACCCATTCATACATCTATTCATTCATCCACAGATCGTAATTTTGACCTGAACCAGAGAACGATCAATCTCCGATTCAATACCCACATAGGTATAATTTGTCATGGGAACAGGGAGGACTTTGTGACCCGACAGATTTAACGTGCATCCGTCATCATTTACTACACGGGGAGTCTACGGCTGGCTAGATTCGAACCCCCGTTCTCACGAACGTGAGTCCAGAGCTCTGTCAACCAGGCTATCCCGGTCCCACCAAATTGCGGTCAAATGAGATCATCAATTTGTGGTCTTCTTGCTCTCTGGCCATCTTTACATCCCAGACAAGCTGATACATATCGATATGAAGATGAGTGATGATAGGCCGCTATCGGGAATCGAACCCAATGACAACTTAGTGCCTGAACCACCGTGGCGTTGTAGCTAAGTTCGTAGATACCAGTCTAATTCATTTTTGAATAATCAATAACTACTTAATTTTTAAGCATTTAAGTAGTCCGATATAAAAAAAATTTCTTCTACAGGATTACTTTTCTATATCAAACTTCAAAATTTAACAAAAAATAAATAAATAAATAATCTGACCCGATGTTATCCTGGAAGAACTAGCTCTTCCATTGCCTGTGTTTCCTGTGGAAGCAAAGTCATCGGAATAACTGTTGTATGGCCCGGAGCCGGCTCTTGAGCTGGACATGGCCACATTTCCGCTTCCACTCTCCTGTGTGCATCTTTGAACACCATTTACAAAGCTGCAGGACATAGAACTGGACATACCTTGACCACCGCCAACATACATCATTGATATCAGCAAAAAACAGATCAGAACAGACTCCATTATCTGTGGTGGAAAGGGAAAAAAAGAATTTATATATATATTTTATAGGAAACGAAAATAATAAAACTAATCTATTGAGAGTATATGTCGCCGCTAAAGTGTAGAAATCATCTATTTCTTTGGATTATCTTGCTTATGTACTGATTAATTAGAGTTATCGCTAGAAGTGTCAAAAAGTGTTTGTCTTCTCAAATTGCCTAGGTAACCAGCAAACTACCGAGATAATCTACACATTATCAACTGGATACTCGTTAAAGTGAAAATAAGATCTTTTCTTAAATTACGTAGGTAACCAGCTAACTACCTAGATAATATACACATTGTCACTGGATACTCGTTAAAGTGAAAATAAGATCTTTTCTCAAATTGCGTAGGTAACCAGCAAACTACGTGCATTTTCGATTATCAATGTTCAACTCCTTAGCCTTGAAATTTTGAACCCTATCCAAAAGACAAGGGAACTCCTAGATCAAGTATTATGAGTAATTTGCCTTCGTGGAGGACTTTTTAATGGAACTAACCCGCACTTGCGTTACAGGGAGAGGAAACCCCCGAAACCCTCCCACTGTTAGCCCAACGCAAGGGGACTCTAACCCATGATCCGTTTACCACTGAGACTAGTTTACGTCAGTGGTGTGATCGTTGCAAGTCGGGTTCGGAATTCTTATCTAACGATCATCGTTGGGATTCGAATCTCCTTCTGAGGAGAGGGCTCTACCCCCTGAGCCACCAAGCTCTCTACCTCTTTATCACAAAATGTAACATTTCCCCACACGACATTTGTACAAAAAAAATACTATTGATTAGACTCGGTTTTTTTATGACAAAAATTTAAAAACAAATTCTATTAAAATATTTTATAGCCGACTTTATATGTTTTTATTTTATCCAAAATATATACTGTCACACTTTTTATTATATACGCTTGTCACAAACTGCCAAAAATTCACGAATCCCGTACCTCCCGACTAAAAGTGACATTATTTGTGTGACGAACCTAAACGCAAATCTTTAATGAAGAATAAAATATATTTTTTATATGTTAATTTTTCTTGCAAATTTATTCTTTTATCTTAAATTTTTTAACTTTTCTTAGTTATTAAATAGATATCACAATAATCATTTAAAAATCTACCCATACTATATTAAATGAAAAAAATAAATAAACTTCTTTTCTAAAGAAAAAACTAAGAAATTCTTTTTTAAATTTTACCTCACTAATTTTTAAAAAATCCTAATCAGTCCTAAGAACTTCAAACGTATTGAAATTTGTGTTTCATTATTAGAGCAGATATTTTCACGTTGGCAGTGGCGTAGCGAGGGGTGGGCAAGGGGGGGGGGCATCATGCCCCGGGCGCTACTCACAAAGGGGCGCCAAATGGTCCGCGAAACAAAAAATTGCTGAATAATTTTTGTTATAATTGATTTCTGGAAAATATATTTTAAATTTAGTGCCAGTGTAATATAATAAATGTTAATTCGGAAATAAAAAAGAACACTAATAGTCTAAATCAAACTGTAATAATATATTCATAATAGAAATGGCACGTCTTTTCTACTGGCAGGGCGACCTGTGTCTGTCAGCACTTCCTTATGGCATCTACGCTGTGTGGTTACATAAATTATCTCCTTTCTTGATTTGTCTGATAAAATAATATGTTACAATAAATATTTGCAGTGTACACAGTACAAACATTCTTCCTTTCAGAACACTATTTTTTTTTCAGTTCTGGAAACGCAATGTAGCTTACGCTTGTAATTTTAAAACAGTAACAATAACACTCTAATGTACTTACATGTACAGTCACGGTCAACTAATCGTCTAATGCCAAAATCTTGGTTTTCTCGACGGGACGGTAATGAAGAAGAAGGAACTGAAGTTAACCGATCCTGGTTAT